TCTTTGATACACACACACACACACACACACACACACACACACACACACACACACAGTCATAAAGGATCCATGTATACACAGGTCTTATCACAAGAATACAGTACACTCTGGCTGACCTGGGTGAGGTCACTGTGTGAAATTGATAACATTCTGTGCAAAGGGAGAAACAAAGGTGGTAAATTCCTCAAAAGTCTGAAGAGTTATCAGATTTGATCTGGTTGAAGATGGTGGGTTCTCAGAAAAAGGACATTTTCATCATTTCGCGTTTTGTCTGATAGATAAAACACTGAGACGGATCATTAAAGTCACACAAAGACTTTGTGACACCAGATTGTACACTGAGTAAAGGAAATTTCCTCTCTCCTTTTACATGCTTTTGGTCTGTGGGAGGAAAACCAGAGTACCCAGAGAAAACCCCAAGCACTGGGTTGCGCAAAACTGTACTGTGTTCAATAAATCATCAGAAAAACTATCACAAATTAATATTTGCCACTTTGCAATTCCTGCAGTTAGTGCTGTGTGATGGTGACCCAGTCTTTCCCTAACTTACGAGCAGCAAAGCAAGCACTGGAAGGAGATAATGGGGGTCGCATTCTGCGTTACTAAAGTTATGCTGCCACTTCGCATTGTAGAAAAGGTGGGTTTTAATTCACAGCTTACAATTTTAACCTGTTTAAACATGTTAGTTTGACTGATGGTTTATAAATATAGTTTTGGAACACAGGATAACTGATTTAAAATCAGAAACATGCAAGTGCAACTTTCATATTAATCAATAGCAGCTAAAGGCCMCATTTATTTGTGCTTAAAATTTTTAAGTCACTTAACTTAAGTAAAATAAATTTCATAGAAATACACTGAGATCTTAKCAGTTTCTTTCAAATATCCTCTGAGATCTACTTCAGCTCTCAGTCTTGGTTTAGCTAAGCTTAGCTTTTAGCTAGGGCTTGGTTTAATTTGGGGGAAATCAAGATTTTTTTTCCCACCAGTGCTCTCTTTGGGGCTTCTGTAGTTCAGGGGTCACCCCACCTGTCCCTCAAGATGCTTGGTACACAACATGACAATATGGCAGCTAGCAAAGAGGATCTACTTTTCAAAAAAGRCACYGTTTCTTCAGTTTTCTGGAACTGGTTAGGTTTTGCAATCTCGGACTTGGAGCGACGAACACCTCACTGCAAAATCTGTTTGACGGCTCTTGATACAAAAAGCAGGGGTACAAAAAAACAGTTTCAACACCTGAAACAGAGGCACTCCGTTAAGTGGGAAGCAAAATCAAAAATCAAATTTGGAATGAAAAAAATTGGAGATTTCTTTTTTTTGGGCCATATCGCCCAGCCCTACCTTTAGCTATGGTTTTGCTAGTTTTAGCTTGCAGCTACTGTTCTGCAGATTCAGCTTCTGTTCTAACTTAAACAAATCAGTTAACAGTTCATTAAATTTTATTAAAGTCATTTGGCACTCAGCATTCACAGAAAATACAGAGTTATATGTTTTCTTTTTTTATTTTACAGTGTGGAGAATTATTTTGAAATTAGGAGAAAAGCTGTGGTCAAGAAATTAAATGACTTTTGAATTTTCACAAACATAAAATTCCCAGAAAGTTTAAACTAAAAAAAGAAAGAAAAACAGCGTTTATGCAACTTGTATTGTCTTTTTTGTGCAGCTTTAGGCAAAAAAAAAAAAAAAGCTTTTGCATAAAATAATACGGTCCATATGTGCAACCAGTGMTATGAGCTGTAAAAAAGTAGTGCACAATCTGTATAGGATTATCTGCGCCTTGAGTAAATTAAACTCAACTACAGAGTGCAGTTAACTTTATGGGGTTATTGACCTTAAAGGCATTCCTCTCTGCTGTTACAACCACTTTCTGTGTCCCTGTCTTTTTTTTTTTTAAATCTGTGTTAAGCCAAATCTGTTAGTGATTTCTTCTCTCACTAGACCACAACCAAGAATGAACATTACAAACTGAGCTCTGGACTTCCCCTCTGCTTCAAAACACACACACACACACACACACACACACACACACACACACACACACACACACACACACACA